CCTGTGGTTCTTTTGTATAACGCGTTCTTTGAGGTGATATGGAAATTTGCTGTAATGAAGCATTGAGTGGTGTCTTTGTGACAATAAGGCAATTGAATTTGCTTTTGCAATTTTATATGTATCGCATGTGACAAGCAATTTGTACATAATTTTTGATATTTGATTTTTGTCGATAAAACCGACAAACAGTTTGGAAACAGTGATTGTATCTATAAACTCTTCACTGGTTTCTTTTTGAATTTTGGCAAGTTTATTAGTGTCGTACTTGGTTATCGACCAATATCTTTCATTTTCATATCTTGCTTTTGAGCTTCCCAAGCCAAATGAAATTGTCGTCATTTAGTGCGAACTGTTTTACTATTGCGCCTGCTTGACCTTTAGTTGTATCGGAGGTGATACAATTTTGCGCTTTTGATAATTTTGGATGGTTGATGTTACGGCAGTGAACATGTCCCGGAAGGACGGCCATTCTTCATAACCTCCATAAAATATTTCTGTGTCACATGCGGGCACCTCGGATGGATGCCCGAACTTGCCTCTTGACTTTGAACATGTGGCACTCTACTCCTGTTTGTGAGTAGGTGCAATTGCTTTTATAGCTTTAGTTGATCGGAGATCATAGCTTTGTAGCTTCGTACTGGTCTAAGCAGTTTTCGTATAGTGCGTAAGCCGATGATTTAAAATCGTGTGTGATCTGAATTGTCATAACTACTATGGCGTCATGAGCCGTTTGGAGACGAGTCCAAAATTGTCAATATTTTGTTTTTTTATTCCAATAACGATTCAGAAAGGTCTTGAATAGGTGAAATGAAAATCGAGTGCAGTATCGTGAATGAAATTGCAACACAAATATTTTGCTTTTATGTGCTTTGTGGTAACCTGTCTTGCGCGTGTAGCTTCTGCAGTGTAATTTGATTTTATCGTCATTAACCATTTTGTTTTGTTATTTATTACTATATGTGTCAAAGTTAATTAAAATTTTCTCAGTGTAAACTGATTTAAATGCAGCAATAAATGATAATTAAACCGAATACATTTTTACGTATATACGATTTTTCGGACTAGATAAATATTTACTTGCGAAATAATTTTTAATATGAATTTATTTTAAATATATATTTGTGAGCGTAATTTAAATTTTCTTATTAGTTATTAAGAATGTCACTTTTAATTTAATAATACTTATTATGTCCTTATGTTGATGTATTTAGGTACACCAATACACGGACTTTAGTATATATTTATGTGCTCGTGAAATTGAGAGCTCGTTGAAGAGATCAATACACTTTGTACATAAGTATGCACGGATTGTTTGAGCGTATGTATGTATATTCCTAATGCAATTGAGAGCTCGTTGAAGAGATCAATGTGCTTTTAGTTTTTATGTACCAATCCTGCTTGTTTGTTACAAGGGGTATTGCGGGATGTATGCCAATGTGGACTTAGAAAATTTGTACAACTACAATTGTATATGTTTTAATGTATTAAGTACAAATTATTTATTTATTTTATTTCTGATAGTGTTAATTTTACTACAACGTTATTATTTATTTTTGTATTTACAACTTTTATATAATTTTCTAAATTTTCATAGTGTAATTGACCCAATTATTGTAAGTATATAAGCACAGGCATAGATTCTATGCCGTATGTATAAATATGGTAAATATGTATTATTTTCCCGGTACGAATAAAGCGAAAACAGAGAATTGATAATCGCAGGTAGTTTACGCTTTTGGCTCTATAATATTTATTGTGCAAATTTGTATTTATCACGTATGTACCATATAGTTTGCAGTTTCTAATTTCAGTTATGAATATATCTGAAATGTATATAAGTACATATATGGTATATATTGCGCTTGCAATTATATGTATAAGAATATATGTACGGATTATGAATAAGTACATATATTTTGCACTAAAGTATGCATATATGTTTGTATGTTTACTTGTATTTATATATTTTGTTGTTGTTAATTTTGTGTGGTTAAATATACGAAGGTAAGCTATATTAACAAAAATTATTATTATTGTTATTAATGTTTCAGAATATGTATGTGGATACATATACATAAATATAAAGTTTATAAAAGATAATCCTTTCGATAAACATATGTGCAAAATAAATAAAGTGAAATGAATACGCTCACTTTGATTCTGTAGGGTATTTTGTGGAGCCTTATGTATATATATGCTGCCTTTATGCCTTCTGCGTTTTGTTCCAGTGTCTGTCCTCTTCGGCATCCACTGGCTAGCTCCTTATGCGTGTTAAATTGTTTTTTATGATCGCGTCCGATTATTTTAGTTTCGCGACCTCTTAAGTTGTTCTTGTTCATTAAAATCGCTTTATAATTGTTTGTATTTTGTTTTGATGCACACACTTTCATGTATATATGTTTGAGGATCGCGCCGTTTAAGTTTATTTATGTTTGTGTTAGGTGCTTTTAGGTTTCGCGCCGAACTGTGTTTAGTTGTTTTGTTTTGCTTATACAGTTTTGTATATTTTGTTTTCACATGCACTTGGTGTCTCTTCACCCTTTAACTATTATGTATATTGTCAATATGTAACTATTATTTTGCACCGCTTTTGTATTATTTTGTTATATATATGCTTGTTTACTTATCTGTATGTATGTTGTTTGTACCACTATATATAATATTATATAGTTTTGGGTCACCGAACTTTGTGGATTTTTAATCCATAGTGCCGCTCACTATGCTCGAAGGACCATGAATAAATCAGACACTTGCACAAACCATCGTAATAAAAATGTCCGAGTAACGAGTACAAACTTTAAATTATTAATATATTAAAATTTAAATTGACGCTACAAATGTTCGTGCCGAAAACTGAGGCGTGAAGATCAAAACTACGTTCGCGAAACAGTTTGGGTTTGCGAAAAGTATGGTATGCGCGCAGGATCGCTATTACTTCGAATGTGTTGAATTGATGATCCAATTCCTCTTTTGTTGATTTGGTGGGGAGTCATCGTGTATGGTGGTAACTTCTGTGGTGACATCGTGTGCAGTGTGGTCGTGTATGTTGTGAGTGCGAGTTGTGTTCCAAGGTGTGGTGTGTTGTATTAGGGTGTGACATTATTTACCCTGTTGAAGCGGTGTAGTTGGAAGGGGAGTTTATAGTCATTTAAACAGCAATATTGTACAGCGCGGTCATCAAGATGGTATAATTTATTAATTTTGTTAATAGAAACAAATTATAGCGTTTTGGTTTTGCACAATCCATTTGGTGAATATGAACTACTGCCTCCCTGACTCTCCAGAGGTTGGTTTTTCTATCAAATTCACACTACTCCCTTATACCATAGTTATAATGCCTATTTGTGAAAAGTGATCCCCACAAATTAGCCTCAAACTGTCTGCGGCATAGTCTAACAACACACATATTTTTATATTGTGGCAATATATTGCACATATGTTATTAGATTAGATGCAGATAATAGAAAAAGTATTAAGTGCTATTACTAAGTCACAAATTATACTACACAACTTGAACTTGGTACAGGGAATCATGGTAGAGAACGGAATCTGCGTTTTAAAAATTTTAATTATTCCGTTTTTTTTGTTCCGCCACTCTATCGGTCAGACGCTTCTTAAGTGTTATTAACCAAGCTTAGTGAAAACATTTGCTTGTTATATAAAACTGTGAGAAAATGGTTTAAATCGGATGTTAACCACAAACTACAAAATTTGCGAAACTATAAAGAAACATGCCAGATGAAATACTGTTTACAGAAAAGAAATCGTAAATCGGTGCAAAAGTCGATAGTAAGCGTGACACGATGATTTAAAACGATCAGCCTTGCTTTTTCTTATGATGACTCCATTAGAATGTTCCGTTGATTTAGGATCACTTTTAACAAAATTAATGTCGTTATATACCATTTTCCTTAAACTATTCGGTTTTTTTCTTTTTCTTGTAAATCAAAAATTATTCTATTTTTTTCCAAAGTACAATGCAAATGTCTACCCATTTTTAAAATATTTAATTTTTATTTGAAAGCTACAGTTAAAACAGCTTCTTTCCAAGACTGCCAATTAATAATGAATACAAATAACTAAATATGTGTTATTTCTTCCCAATCAAATTTCGTTCCATATCGATTAGAAGGAGTAACAACAAAAAAAATTGCGCTAATCGAAACACAAACGTAGGAAATTATTTAGTAGAAGACAGTAGGCCACAAGAGGAGTGATAGTTTCCTCAGGCCCTAAGTTCTCAGGACGGCCCGGCGCTCTGCAACAATGTTTTGCAGATTTTTTTCTCCAACTATTGGTGGATCAGAGAGATCGTATCCTATATCCTCCCCAGGTCCGGGTTTTCTCTCTACGACTCTGATAGCAGATGATAAATTTGATTTGTAACGCTATTATTATCTTTTTAATAAGAGATTATTCATTCCAGAAGCTGACTGATTTACAACACATCTTTTTGGTTTATGAATAGGTCAACAAATGAAAATGGCTTTATATATGCCTTATTGAACACTTCTGTGTTTGATAATCGTTTCTGAAAACTTAAAAACGGAATAGCTACCAATGAATTTTTATACATCATTTTTAAATTACAGGTTTTTAACATAAATGTTAGATTTTCAATCTAGTAATAATAAATAAAAAAACACATAAATCAATTATTTTATATAAATGCAATTTTATTAATCTATATGGTATGCACCATATATAATATACCAAGTTTATTTGTATGTTCCTTATAAACTCCGAAACGGCTGGACCGATTCCAATGAAATTTTCGGTCGATCTTCAGGATAGCCCAGCGGATTGGGGTAACAGTTGATTGGAACGGTAAAATAGATCTGCAACCAAATAGCAAATGCCCCGAACTGCAGGACAATTTGCACACTATTATAAATGAAAAAAATTGATTGGCAAACTTTTACCGCACACACAAAATAATTACTTAAATCATAATTGGCTCTGTAATCGGGCTATATTGAAAGCTAGAAATGCAGAAATTGTTACTCAATATATAATTTATTTATACCTTAGCCACAGCAAGGCGTGGCCGGGGTGTTCTAATGGTATATATAATAGAATCGCTAAAAATAAAATAAGTGTACATTTTTCTTACAAATATGAATTAATATAAAATCCTATAATGGCTAATGAAAAATATAACAATTTATAAAAAACCTTATGTTAAATTTACAATATTTTAAACCGGGGAAATTGTTAAATGGGTTCCTGTTGGAAGTACTCGTGCTTTAAGCAAGCCAATGCGGAGGGTCGTGATCGAAAATCGTATGAAAGCATTTGCTGAATTATAATAAACAAAAAATTATTTAAATTTGAATAACGTAAAATTTAGTATAAAAAACTTACACTTAAAAGATCATTGGTATAGTCACATAAATTTGGACACAACTCTTTTGGCTGCTTTTGAAGACGGGGTGGAAAATGTTCTCTTGAAAGCGAAATTGATTGGGGCCACTGTTGAGATGTGGGACGTCCAGTTAACCTGAAATTGAAAATGGATGAATAAATACATTGGATCTCGAATAAATTCAAATATATTTTGTTAGGAAAACCACAAAATTTTAGAAAATGGTTTATATTTCTCTTCAACACTTACTCAAAAACTCTATCCAGTTGATTAGCTTCTGACGTGCCTGGGAATAGAGCCTTGCGTGCAAACATTTCAGCTATAATACAAGCAACACTCCAAATGTCAACCGAACTATTGTACGATTGGGCCAACAGGACTTCAGGGGCACGATACCAAAGTGTCACCACTACGGATGTTAGTTTCATTTCAAAATCATATGTTTTTGCCAATCCGAAATCTGCTATTTTCAGATGTCCTTGCGAAGAAATGAGTAAGTTTTGTGGTTTTAAGTCACGGTGAATAATTCGATGTGAGTGCAAAAAGTCCACCCCGGTCAATAGTTCACGTGATAAGCGCTATTGTTCAATATTTTGTTATTAAGAGTATATTATTTAAGAGCGAACAATACCTAAATACATATTTACGTGTATGTTTCTGTAGATAAGTATTCACCTGTATTGTAACTGATGGCATTCCCGATTTTGGAAGACGTTCAATCAAATCAGACAGATCTTGTTCCAAATGTTCAAAAACTAAAAGTACCATCAACTGATCCTCGCGCTCAAGAACTTGGCACACTTCAAATAGTCTAAAAAAATAAAGTATATTGAAATATCTGTACATTATGAAATTATGATTATGAGTTCAGTAATTATGCTCATCAGTTGGATATACATACATGGCCACATTTTTGTTTATAGGAGTCACTGCATCTGTTGTATATCACATGGAATGTGGTTGGTGCCGGTCATAATGTGTCATAATCAAAAAAACCAAGTTAAGAAGATAAAAGTAAGCTCTCTTTCACGCTGTGTGCTACGACGTACTGTACGCAGAGCGAATGGAGCTCTTCGAATGAAATTATAATGATATTCTGACTAACCTGTGTGTATGGCAAGTTTTTGGTAAATATACTTTGTCTGGCAACATTAATAATCAGTCAATCAATTTTAAACGACAAGAGCGACAAGACAATAAAGCGGGCATTCCAATAACACCAATTCAACTCAGCAAATGAGTACTTTTTGTACAACTTGTATATGAGTGAATCAATAGAAAATGAGTATCTGAGAGAGATGTTGTATTCTCGCTAAGAGTTAGAAACGCAGTTCATAAATTTTTAGTTCCCTTCTCTGAAGAGATTAATTCAATGATGGCGTGGTGACTGTTTAGTTGGCAATTTCTCCTTTTAACCGGAGAAGATTCACAATCAGCTGTAGCGCAAAGTTACAAACAAATGCACAAATGCAGTATATCAAGTGGAGCTAACAGTATTTATACGAATACCATAGAACTTAACAAATGCACACCCAAATATAATATATTTGTAAGTAAGAACAAGCAACTAATAGCTGACATTGTCGCCAGATGTGATTCCTCTCAATTCAGTTTTTGGCTTATACAATATCTATGTACATATTGTACATACATTCAGTGCTGGAGAATAAAGAACTACAAATAAACTATGTACCTCACACATATGTTACTATAATTTGGATGAATGTTATAATGGTTTGAAGTTAATCTTCTTTCGGCACGGTAACAAGCAGAAGCCTTTAGAAGCATATAAACACAATTGTGGTCTCAATAAGAACCCATATTTATAACGAAGTTGCATTCAGCTATTTTTTCATATCTGATAGCAACAACACAGCACGTCACGACTAGCCGAAACTCAAATACATTAGCTATCTTCCATTTGCCATTTCTCTGTTCGCTATCCTTGCGCGCTGCTCTCTTGTCAAAAAGATTACTTGTAAAAGCAAGAAAGTTATCAAGTTAAATTTTTGTAAGAATACCTTATTAAAGGATTATAACCGCTATCTTCAATGTTATCAAGTTTTGTTTGTAAACTGCTCCACGAATGAAGATATACATTTTTTTATTCTTTGATGTTAAAAACTTAAGATTTAAAATCAACTATAATATTTTATAAAAAATAAAACAAGAAAGGATCGTAACACAATTGCGCTTGCGTCAGAGGTGACTCTAGTGCTGGATTGCACCACAAGTGCTGCCTATTTGTTTGAAGACCTCGTTCATAGTTTGATCGATTGGTACCCAGCTTCACTTATTTTTTGAAGATAGTTCGTACAAAGTAGGTTGAGTAGTTTCTGATATACCTTTGGCACAGCTCCATTTGTAGTTCTAATAATTCAAATCATTTCATATGCTACATAAAATATATTTTCCTTAGATCCCAATGAAACCACTAAAGTATAAGGTAGCCAGCACAGAACTAGCTTGATATTACGGTTTGCCAAAAAGTGATTCATAATCTTTTAGATTTTCAGGACTGACCCAATAAACCAAACGTTACCACTCCATTAACATTACATTTACATTAAAATTAAAATTCAAACGGCCCTAAATTCAGGAATTCCCTTTATATCATATACACATTTACTTACTTAACAATGTGTGGATGATCTGAGGCATTTAAATGTTTCAGCAAAGCGATCTCTCGTAGTGTTGACATTGGGACTCCATTGTCCGTTATTGGTATGCGAACTTTTTTGATAGCGACAATTTTTCCTGATTGATTATCTTTTGCCCGATATACAGTACCGTAGGCTCCTTAGGAAATTAGATCAATAAAATAGAAGATAATTCGTAAATTATTGTTTTGGTTTCAGTGTCCCAATTCCGAGGTTAGATATTGAAGTTGAATGAGCGAAAGACATAAAAAAACGAAATAAAAATTATACAAATTAAATAATAAGGAATCGGAAACATGTAATTTTAGTAATATAACATTAATATGAGAAGAAAAAAAGGGAATAAGAGAAATTCATTTTTATCCCCGTAGCACTACGAGCTATTTTGTTGTACATACTATAGATACTGAGAGAAGTAATATAAAAGAAAAAAAGTTGTGATGTCGGTATTGAGTATATTTAAATAAATGCTAAAACGAAAGACTTAGTGTTAATTTAAAACAAAAAAGAAAAAGGCTTCCTTTACAAATACTTCATGGTCTCAGTAATGTCTTATAATTGCGATAATGTATGAATTTAATAGCTTTTCCTCACATTTATCCGTCATTCTTATGAAGGCATTTTGTTTTTAATTATTAAACTAATAATATTTCAATAAGTTTACTTAATACCTACTTCAAAATTGATTCATAAATACACAGCCAGCATCAATAGTGATCGTTAGATAGTGTTTTATATTGAATGCTCCAAATAAAGAGCAAATTTTTAACAAAGTTTAATCGCATCAGATTATAAAATATATACATAATATTGATCTTGATTGAAGGCATAATTAATAATTTTACTTTTATATACTTTTTCATGTACCCAGTTTGAATGTTCAACTAAATATGTAAGTCCACGATATGAGATCAACTTCTCTGTCCATACGCCATAGATAGGATGAATTTTGAAAACTAGCTGTTGGTAGATAAAACTGACACTTTATATGTATATTAAAGGGACGTGTCGCATATATTAACTTCCCGCTAAGAAAATTGAAAATTTTCTAAAAATTGGGAAGTTATTGGTTTCACCCCATTTTGCAAAAATCGAGTTCTCAACAGATCTCGACGTTCTGAGGGTCGAGGAAGCTTCCCCGAACATTTCTACGATAATGTCCGTATGTCTGTATGTATGTGTGGATGTGTGTGTGGATGTATGTATACCTCTTATAACTTTTAAGCGGCTCAACCGATTTGAATAAACTAAAAGGCATTCCAAAGGGTTTCATTGCACTTGAATTTCTTATAAGTTTGGACTCAATCGGACCAGTATATTTCGAGAAATCTCAAAAATTTCGAAATCGAATTTCTTCCAAACGACTTGACCGATCGACATCAAAATTTGATTTGCTTTCGAGAAATCGTTAACGAAAGAAATCACCAAAATTGATTAGTCTTTGATAAATTTGGGAAATGTGTTATATTAAACTCCCATTAAACTTTTGAGCTCGAACTTTTGATGCTCTACAAAATTGTCTCTTACGGCTTTTTCATTTTAAATTGAAAAGCATAGTCTTGTAGGATCTGCTCAACAAAATTGGTCTATATAATGTTTGGATTATGTAAAGCGTGAATAAAAAGAGACCTAAAGAAAATTGTTGCTAGAAATAAATTTAGCGACGATGTCTGAGGTCTATTTTGAAGCAAATATACACACTCAAATATACACATAAATGTATATAAACATATGTCTTTTACTACAAATAGGAGAAAAGAACGTGTGCAAAATTTCAGATCCGTATCTCAAAAACTAAGAAACTAGTTCGCGAATGTACAGACAGACAGACAGACGGACAACATGGCTAAATCGATTCAGCTCGTCACAGTGATCATTTACATATATCTTTTATAGGGTCTACGACGTTTCCTTCTGGATGTTACAAACTTCGTGGCAAACTTAATATACGCAGTTCAGGATATAAAAATATTTATAATATGATCTTTAGCAATTTATTTTATTCAATTCAACAAGTTCTAAATTCAACACTCTCTGTTTTATTCGCGATATGCTCCTAATGGGGCAGTGTATTCAGACTCGATCAGCGCAAAGAAGGTGTCGCCTCAACCTGTACCTACCACTCCAGCTTAAGGATGACTATAGGGGAACATATGTACTCCGAGGCATGCTAGGGTTTTAACAGGACGCCGGCAGTTTCGGAATTAGCATTTGTAGGTGTATGTTAATTGCAAGTAGTTTCTTATCCTTGAAACATAAACATTATCTCTGACTTTGCTAAGACCTCGGGGAGTGGGTTGGTGATGTAAACGACCTCTACACATACTATCTACCTTTGCATTCACACATAAATTGAACAATCAGAAATGTGTACGAAATTTTATTAAAAGTGAATCTAAAAATGATAAAGTGCTGGCATACTTTAATTTTATTCTTATCTGTATTAAACACTATTCATTATCAAGAAACGCCACATACATATTTACGTGTAAAAGTTTTATGTGCATACGAATTTCACACATACCCATACACATGTATGTATTTCTATGAGAGTATAGCTGGTGATTCTGACTAAAGCACAGAAATTAATTTAATATTTTAAAAGCTTTAAAGTATCTATAATCTTTACATTTTTCCCTTTGCATAACATTTATACATATATATTTAAAAAACCTCTATATTCAAATACAGAACAAAAAAATGTATAATATTTTGTTAAAAATGTTTTCAGAGCATTTCTATCTAGTCTATCTGTGTATACATATTCGGTTTAATGTACAAAACAAACTAAATATTTCACCTTCCTCTGAACACAGTGACATCACTTCAAGACTTTTTAGATCAATTATAAATTCGCGTCTAGCCAAACAACAAGACGTGTGCGAAATGTTCGTTGAATCGTTTGCCAAAATGACGAGAACGTATAGGTACAATCGCGGATGAAATATAAGCGGTGGAGAGGCAGAAAAGCGGACATACTAGAAGAATGTAATCACGAAATTCGACAGAATATTCAAGTCGAATCATACACATACATATGTTATACATAAATATATACGTAACGAATTGGCGATGGAAATATGTATTTTGCCTTAATCTTGCATTTCACCAAATGGCGTTAAATTAAACAGCTTAAAATTCATTTAGTGCACCTACAAATAGGAATATATGCGACTATATACACAATTATGGTATCATAATACCCTGAAAAAATCAACATTGTGGCATATCCAGAAGGTTTATACTTACTTGTATATAAATAATCAGCGTAACGAGCTGAGTCGATTTAGCCATGTCCATCTATCTGTCTGTACATACGCGAACTAGTGCCTCAGTTTTGAGATATCGATATGAAAACTTGCTAATGCTCCTCAAGAAGCTGATCATTTGTCGGAACCACTGATATCGGGCTATTAAAGCCTATACATGTCATACAAACTAATCGTTCAAAATTAAGTTTTTGTATGAAAAACTTTTTTTATCACACATTATCTTTACGAAATTTTGAGATATCGATATGAAAACTTGCAAATGCTCCCCAAGAAGCTGATCATTTGTCGGAACCACTGATATCGGAATATTATCGCCTATACATGTCATACAAACTAATCGTTCAAAATTAAGTTTTTGTATGAAAAACTTTTTTTATCACACATTATCTTCACGAAATTTTGCATACATTATTACCTAAGCTCCGAAAAAATTTTTTCAGATCGGACCACTAAAGCACATATGTAGCTACCATTCAAATATATCGGTCAAATTGAAGGATTGATTTGTTTATCCTTTCTTGCTAAAATATACATATAAACCTAAAAGCTACTGCACCGATTCTTTTGAAATTTTTTTGCAGTTACAAATTAGTGGATTTTCTCACTAAAAATTAGTTTTTTCTTCAAAGTGTTCTAAAAGTTAAAAATTGGAATTTTGAAAAACCCTCTCTATATTATCTGGGTAAAACTAATATCTAACGAAAACCTTATTTTTTTGATTTCGGATGATCCAGCACCAAGTTATGAGGGGCACCGAAATGGTATGAAGGTATTTTTCCGATACGCGATCGAATAATTGCAGCTTAATTTTATACACCATTCCTCGAATGTCGTACTTTACCAAAATGTACCAATGGTTTTACTAAAAAAAGTTTTGCTGTATCGTCACACAAAATTTACAAAAACATACATAAATTAACCTTACCCTTACCTATATTTCGAGAAACCTTCTCAAATATGTTCTTAAGAATTAGTTTTAGAAATCCGTAAACAGAATATCATATGTATATCGATTAATTTAGGACCATTCTAGATAGAACTTTCGCAATTTTAGAGTTATGATGATAGGCAAGTGTGCGCACACACATTTAGTTTTTTGATATTTGCTTTGATACATGAATTATCTATTGTAAAATTAATTAAATCTATTTTATTTAACATAATTTGTAGGGGAAATAACCACCGTGGGTGGGATTCGAGTTTGTCTATTTTTTTGCTTTTAGAGTATAAAAATGATGTTAATGCTTCAAAATGTGAGAGCAAGAAAAACTTTTTTTCTTATACAACAACAACCATGGGTATTACCATATGTGTACTTATATGGCGTTCGTTAAATTATGCTTTTGTACTAAATTCATACATTCTCCGCGTAATGTGAAATCGTAATCAGCAAAGAACGAAGAGTAATGCTAGTTCTGACAGGAAAAGTTACCATAGAATATCTTAATTACATTTACAGTTCTACCTCCTAGGCTCCATTATTAATTTGACAATATACATAGATCTATGTATGTAAATCTACGCAGTTACAGTCGTTATTGTTTTTATTAAATTTAATAATTACCTGTGCCAATGACGTTGAGCTCTTCATAGTTCAAGGATTCGCTGTCTCCACAATGCGCCGTCGAGGACATTATCCAATTTTCATTCCGCATTAAAGCAGTTTCAATGGTTTAATTAAAATGTTCCGTTTACGTTTCTGTTTTATTTTATTTCTGATTATTTTGCGTTATTTCTCTTTGCAATTTAATTTGCATTCACATTTATTTGTTGCCAAACTATTTTCTTGCGGTTGTTAAACACGATTCTTTTAAGCTTTTATTCATATTAAATAAATGAAATCATTAGCGAAATACCAACAATTTGAGATGTAGATATGTGTGTATGAAGAGTAATGCAGAGTGGACAAGGTCAAGAAAGCAATGAAAGCTAAGAGCAGCTGTAGAAACAGTTTATGGTCAATCTGAAGTGAGCGGATCAGTGCAATAATTTGCTCCACAACTCAACTCTGCAGTTGATGCTCGGACAGACACACACCGTCAATCGGTTAGTGGTCAAGACAACTTGACAAAAGTTTTATACAATATTGTTTGTTGCAATTGATTAGAGGAATGATGAAAATATTAGACAGTTATCGTCTCTCTCTGTTACTAAGTACACATATGTATGTATGGGATCAATATACATATATATATTATGTACATAATTTAAGTATATTTTAACGGGTTTGTAGTGCTAATGATTCTTATATATTATATGTACATATATGTATCTACAAGTATATACATATGCATATGTAATTTTGGAAAGATAACCAAGTACTGAAATTTGGAAGTAGTTCTTCACTTCTCTTAAGTATGCGTATATACATAAATATCAATTGTAAATTTAGACTGAAGACCTATAGTTAAAAATATTATACTAATAAAAAATTACAAAAAGCATTGTAGTAAAACAAGAAATAATTCAAGTGTGATGTTTTTATAAATACTTTATTACAAACTGAATACATAACAATATACCGGAACAAAAAAGGTTATAAAGTTTTTGAGTATTTAGATCCTACATTTCCTTAAATCATTTTTCCCATTTTATGGGTACGAAAGAAGGGTTCTAAACATCAGCTTCACTTTGAATATTATATGCTTATTAAACCGTGTATCTTTGCACATTTTTCTTTTCGAAACCTGTTCAATTTGACCTAAGTTTTTTTAACTTTGACCTAAGTTAAAACGTCAATTCAAATTTTAAATACTTTTTCCACTTATTTTTACAATTCAAGAACCATTAGTAAAACTAGTACTTCGAGGTGTTTCTTTGAATCATTTCCGAGCACTGAAAATGAGGATCTTTTTTAATAATATTATTTCAGCATTTCAGTTGACTGACAGTTAAGTTAGTGCGAAATGTCACCCCAAAAAAATAAGAAAATGTGGCCATTTGAAATCTTCTTTTGTCATATTGTATATAATTGAACGATAAGGATAAGGCACTCTACGTCTAAAATAAATATGCTGTCAAACATAAATAGTAATTGCTCTCTTTCTTTCATGACGTCATGAACTAATATACTTTTTGTGAAATGCATTCCAAAATAGTAACGGGACAAAATTGTCGTAATTTTTAATTCTATAATTCTTGATGGAAACATGTTTGTGGGTCATCGAACTACTTTTGTAATTTTAACTGATTGTTTTGTCAATTAATTTGACATAGGGAGTAAATCATCATTATAAATTTATTCAAGATTCGTTTTTCTGCAATTTAATGTTGCATGTTTTTAGGCTGTTAAGCACAAGTAGATTGAGATGTTTTAGATTGAACGAAGGCCTTTTCAAGATTTTAAGTGAGAACTATACCTGTTCTCTACCTATTCCTACTTTGGGATTCCATATTTATAAAACAATACTCACATATAGACACACAGTTAATACAGATATGTAAGTATATGTATGTACATATGTGCTGACATTAATACATGGACGAAAGAGTTTCCATCCGCACTAACTTTAACAAAGTATTGATATACTCCTAGATCGATTTTTCTTATGTATATATATTTAGGTACATGTTTTCATACATATCTACGAATATTAAGTGCATATATGCAAATTTAATGTGTTTTTAGCGGTTAGAAAAACCGAAATGTAATTAGAATGAGTAGCATCTACTTTGATACATACTTGTACATGTATCCATATAACCATATATGTATATGAAGACATAATATGCATATATATTTTACATGCATAAATCACAGGTAAAGTATCTTCAAATAAGGCATATAAAAATAGCGAAGAAGTAACAAGACGTGATGGCGGTTGCGTGTTATGTTTACGGAACTCAACAGAGACAATGGTGCACGGAGTGTATAGAGAGATGCTTGAATAAATATTGCAGCCGTCGGAAACATTGCTGCAAATTATTCCTCTGTTGCTTCGGTACGATTAGGATCGCAATTTTGTTTGGCTGACATCTGCTGGCTGCAACTGCGACAGCTCTGCGGTAGTATGAGGTAGTACAGACAAAGAACTTAAAACTGTTTTAAGTTCTCTGTTTGAACATACTATTTTTTGGTCTATATTTTAGCACACGTTTGTATGTATGTACATAAAGAGGTATCTATTGTTGATCGATCGTGCATGTATATATATAGGTACACAACTAGATTACTACTCAACATACCCATGTATGTAAAATATGCATTTACTTGTGTAGGTCGTCATTTCGAGCCTCTTTGTAACATGTCAACATCTGTATATGTGTACGTAAGAACAAAAATTTGCACAAACGCATAAGTACCTTTATATATACATAGGCACAATCACACACGGCTGTTATTGAATGTACATGCAGTAAGTATGTATACATTTATGTATTTGGGCAGTACTGATTAGGCGGTAAATAAGGCGATAGTATGTTTGCTTTGCTTTTTGTGTAGTTCTTTTAACATATAACGCGTTCGAGAAAAAGTAAACAAATATACCTGCATCACAGGTAAAGATTTTACAAGTTTATTGACACATCCGCTGGACGTAAGCGCGATTTTATACAAACAAACTACTGCATAGGGCGTTCATTCGCTAGAAATTGCGTGGAAATGTAGTTCGCGCGATAGCCAGCTATTAAAGGCGAACACATAACAGAAAGGCCAACAAGCAAAAGCTGTTTGGAATAGCGGCGATGAGAACAATTGATCGAATAGACGTTAGGCACATAAACTCATGCAAACATTTCTATGTATGGATAACAGGAACCTATATATGTACATAAATACTTATATTCATATGTCTATACAAACAAGTCGTTCGAATGCGAAGAGCAGAAACAGCAGAATGCTGAAGAGAACAAAAGGCAATAGTGAACGAATATCGCTTGCGATGTTAAAATTATTTGCCTACGTTTTGCAATTACCTACGAATGTATGTGTATATATATATATATATATATTTATACATTTAAATTTCGTATACTATGTTATTTAATTACCTAACCGCTTTCTATTGAGCACTAACAACTATTAACCTAGCTATATAACATATGTACATAAGTACATACATTCATATAACCGAGAGAGAGCAAGTATATTGCCTATGGAACGGCTTAATGGAGTAGTACTTTCTTGTTCACCATTCCATTGACCAAGATTGTTACAAGTGGCTCTTCTATTAAGGCCTACGATTTTAGACTTTATAAAGTCACCACATGGCATTATGACGACGTCGAAGTCATCAACGCAGTCGCAGACATTGTCGCCCTCGTATATTCGTACTCAAGTAATCGGCGGTGCACATCGCACATGCATATTGCCTGTGTATACAGATTTGTATCTATGTGTATGTGCGTATCTATGTACGCGCGTGCGATAGCAACAACAGGGGAGAACACACGCAAGCACAAATACGCACACGTTACCTTGGCTTGCTTGTTTAGCAACGTATGTATAGATTACGTGTATTTCAGTTAATTGTTTGCCGAATATTTATTGAATCAACCTTAAAAGTCTCTAAAGTCGATTTCTTGATTTTATTTAATCGCTTGTTCCGATTTAACATTTACCAAATGCCGCTATCAATTTTTATCCCGAACATATTGTTGTATGTATATCACGCACGAAAATCCACTTACACTAAAGCAGCCCGATGAACAAGCCAAAAAATACTCTAGCATAAATAATCGCACTCAAATGCCGTAATGACGGATATCTGAACCGAACTCACTCATATTAACACTTCGCTCAGACCGCAATGTCATTGCATGCAGTTCCAACACACCGATGTATAATCGCTGATCCCGCTGTCAGCACTAAAATTAAAAGAGCTGGAGAGTTCCACTGCGAAGAGCACATGCTTTCAGTAGACTGTATGATGTATGCACATACCATACATACATATGGAATCGTACAGAGCGCTGCGAGAACAGCTCGGTTTTCTAAAAACTCTGGAGGGGAAAGTTTGATCAGCTAACAGCCAACACCACTGCAGAAGTAAGTAACCACAGTTATCTAGTTCGTGGGGTACACTGTTATCAATATCGCTGGCTATTAACAGCAGCTCTGTTGTTGAGCAGAGAATGTAATGAAATATCGAAAATTAGATAGGCATATTCATTAACATTTTCGCTCAGACAGTCTGAACATGGCAATTAATAAGAGAATGCGAACAAAATTATTTGTTTTGATAAATGGTTTTTGTCCATTCTAAACATATCTGTCAAAAGAGCATTAGGCAGATCCACGACAACTATCGTTTCCACTCTTCTCTGAGTGCATATTTGATTGAAAATTAAGAGAAATTACGAGCTCAGTGCGATAGCAAGTGGCAATTTTACGATAACATTATGCAGCAACTGTTTTGCACTTATTTTTACAAAAAATATTACGACTCAAACAATATTTAGGGCACTAGAGTTACAGTTGTTAAGAATAAGTATGCATAAATTAATTAATTTTTCATACCTAAAAATTTATGGAACTTTCCAATTTATACACAACCATTCTATGGGGTAATGATTAGCCGTTAGTGAACTTACAAATACGAGAGATTACAACCAAAATTGTACCGTTCAAAACACGTGTTCAATTGTTGTCACAGAACCAAAAGACAAGCATCGGTACAATTCAACTTCATTTGTCATAAAAGATTTTATTATATTTAACTCAATCGACTTTCTCTAGTGATCATTTCTCAGAAGCAATAACAACATTTCCCTAATGCTTTCATTTATCTTTACAAGCGTAGTCAGGGTTTTTTTTTTCGTTTATCTTATATATTTATATAGCTACTTGTACTACATTTTTTTCACTACGAGGCGATGTAATAAATGCCCTTTTTTATTTAGTACACTATGGCCAGTGCAAACCACTCTGTGTCTAAATTAAACCCGGTGTCGGAATAAGCTAAATTATCAGTCAGGTGTTCATCTAACAAGACCACCCTGTGTGCTTTAATATTTTATTTGCACTGAAGCTCCACAATGTATGGCTCTCACGTAAATATTGTATAATAATTATGTTTGAGGTCTAGAGGGATTAAAATTTTATCCATACTTTATACTTTTATATATAAACCGATTTCAATCAAATTTTGCGCGCTATTTTTTACCCTTTTGAGAGATGGATATAAGCTTGATATTGGGTATGAACTTCTCTCTAAATTTGCAGTATTTTTTATTGTGAATTATTTGACTGATAGCTAAAGAAAAAAATTATTTAGAATCGGATTATGCGGTAAGGTAGTTTTTAAATCGTTGTTCTTGGCGAGATACGGTCAGAACAGTTTTGTGTAATTTCTGTTAAAGCGTAGTTTTTAGTTTGGCCTTAAATTCCACAGAGGTCTTTAAATTTATAACAATTAAATATATTGTGTAAAGTATTACCTCCCATTAGTCATTAAAGAAAGAACTAGTGCTGTTCTAATGCATTTCCTTCTTGATTTAAAAACGAATGCAATGAGTTTTGAGTCGGTATTTCCTTAAGGTTTTTAAGGGAATTTTCTCCCCTAGGTCTTAAATTGTAGTTTAAATTTGTAAAATCGTATAACATAATCAAGCTTGTAACAAATTTTCTGCAGACAAACTGAGATCCAACGATTTTGTACCTTTAGAAATATCTTCTTGAAATATTCGTGCACTGAAAACAGTTTCAGTTACTACTGATGCTTCTAAAATTCGGTTTTAATAATTATTGGCTAGTTATCTTTTATTTGTTAATTTTTCATTAAGGATGTCCCAGGCGACAGAAAAGTTCGCCGAGGTTGACGGCATACTATCCCAGAGTTTCTTTAAATTAAACAATTCTTCATTTAGATCCATATTATCATGGCTCTAAAATTTGGTTTTTGCAGTTCTTCTGCCATTTTAGATTGATTCTCCATAATATTTTTTTGTTTTAATAAAATATTTATATTGAGAAAAACATAAAGAAATTTCTTATCTTTATATACCAATTTAACTGATTAATGATTATATGTACTAAATAATTGTTTCGATTGCGCACTCACCTTTTGCACTTATTTGCACCAATTTAATTAAAATAAAAACGGATACGGCTTATAGAAAATACAGGCGGAAAATCCTGACGTCTCGACCGCTCGAATTGTTAACGAAAAAGAAGAAATCTGGTCCTCTGTTAGTCCCTTTTGAGTGTTGGATTGTGTAGAGTTGTGGTGTGATGTGATGTGTATGTGTGGGTGGTCTGAGTGGTGTGATGTCTTGTTGTGGATCGTGTTGATGTGCCCCCCTAGTTGAATTCTAGCCTGGCAATCGCTGTAGTTGCTGCAGCGTGGCAACAACACTGCTGAGGCCAGTGGAGCGGCGGTATGTTGATCTACGGCTTGGGGCGAGTTGTCGCCCGACGGCCCGCTTTGGGGTGCGGTGTGGCATGGTGTGGTGCTGCCTATTGCACAGTTGAGTGCAACCGACGTACACTCAGAAGTCGTGTGGACCGTAGCTAAACAGTTGAGGCAGTGCCCGTAAGCTTGGGCAACCTGCTGACGTTGGTGGGGCTGCATACTTCAAAAAATGCTGCAGTGTTGCAGCCGGTGTGTGCGTCGACACAGTGGGCATCGGTTACGTTGAGATACCGTTGCTGGTGCTGATGAAGGTGGTAGTGGTCGCGGGCCATTACGGGGAGCGGTTGCATTAACAATTGCCGCTGCGGTTCGTGGTGCTGGAGTTGTCCCAGGGCGCGGCACATTGATGGCAGACCTCACAGCTAGCGTTGGTGTTGCTGCCATATCTACTTCCATATTTATCTGTATGAAGAAGTTGGAATGATTATACATTTGTGGCATGTAAATTTATGGCGAATGTGCCACGGTATGTGCCAGGAATGGTTGGTTTACAACGGTTTTGTCATTTGCGGGTTTATTGGTTAGTTATACGACTAATTCATTTGCGTCACGGTAATATCGGCGGATTGTTTGTTATTTGCGGTTTCGTCATTAGATGCGGTTGGCAGAAAACATAATTTCACGAGCGGTCTTGTCAGCGTTCCGCTTTGAGTACGGAGATCAACTACTCGTATATGACCGTCGGAACCGTAATATAGTTTTTCTATGCGGCCAAGCCGCCATTCTGTGGGGGGTAGACAATCATCGTGTATGATGACAGTCACCAAGCTTTGGTGCCTTTTCTGGAGTTTTCCATCGGTACCTTTTATGAAGGTCCTTGATGTACTCTTCCTTCCATCGGCGGCTGAAATCATGATGGAGAATTTTGATTCTTTCCCATCGATTTAATAGGAATAGCGACCCCACGCCTGGCTCAGGTATGGCCAGAATGGGTGCTCCTTTGAGAAAATGCCCTGGAGTTAGGACTGTAAAGTCGGAGGGATCTTGCGAGAGTGTTGTGAGTGGCCGTGAATTGAGAACGGCTTCAATTCGGATTAATAAGGTAGTGAATTCTTCATAATTGAATTTATAATTTCCAGCTACTTTTTTGAAGTGGGGTTTGAAGCTTTTTACAGCTGATTCCCATAAACCACCCATATGACGAGCGCTTGGGGGGATAAACTGCATATTTCTGAACAATTTCAGGTGATACTTGTTTAATAAAATCCACAAACTGATTTTGAGTGGATCTTTGGGCTCCAATGAAGGTTTTGCCGTTATCGCTCATTAGTTTTGAAGGGAAGCCGCGTCGTCCGACGAAGCGAGCAAATGCCGCGAGAAAAGCCTGCTTAGTCAGATTCGTACATAGCTCGAGGTGCACTGCTTTTGTCGTAAAGCAGACAAAGACAGCCACATAGCCTTTCATTATGGTGGGCGACCTTAGCATGGACACCTTTAATTAAAAAGGCCCAGCAAAATCGACACCTGTGACTGTGAAAGGCAGAGCGAAGTTACAGCGTTCCGGTGGAAGTGCTGCCATAATCTGCGTTCGAAACTTCTGCTTATGCAGAGTGCAGATCTTGCACATGAAAATGCATTTTTTTATTTGGGGCTTTAGACGGGGAATATAGAACTCTTGGCGGACTATATGTTGCATTAGACGATGTTCTGCGTGGAGCATAAGTAAGTGAAAATAATGAGGAGTAAAGTGGCAAGCCGAGATTTCCCTGGTATGATTAGAGGGTGGCGTTCATTATACGTGAGGCTTGAATTGGCAAGCCGACCATTCGCACGAAGCAGACCTTTCGTGTCTAGGAATGGGTTAAGTACTAAGAGTGAACTCCTTTTGTCAATGGGTTTTGATTCTCATAATAGTGTTATATCGCGGCTGCAGTAGCGCATTTGAGTTGATGCGATTAGAGTGACCTTTGCAATTCTAGGGGCGTCAGTGTATCGTATTGGGGGTATTCTGAGGGAACTCCTTTAACTTTAATTTTAAGTCGCTCTATGAACTTTAACATATAGGCGATTACTCTGAAGGCTCGGGAGAACGATGAAAATCGCTCAAGGATGTCAGTATCCTCCACTGCTGTGTGAAAGGAGTCGATTTTTCGACTTTCTGGGGCTATTATATTGCGCATGGGCGATTGTGGCCAAGAATCGGGAGATTCTGTTAACCATCGGGGACCATTCCACCAGAGGGTGGTGGTGGTAAGGTGCAGGGGTTTGCACCCTCTTGTACCTAGATTGGCAGGATTGTCAGCACTGGCTACGTGTCGCCAAGTGGCTGATCCCACTAGGTCAAGTATTTGAGACGTTCGATTAGCAATGTCCATTGCATGTGGTGGTTTTTCCAACCAGGCTAGAATAATTTCAGAATCGGACCAGAGATACAATCTATGTTTCTTCATGTTTAAATGGGTCTGCACCATGGAAGCTAATTTTGCGAGTAGTAGCGCGCCACAGAGCTCAAGTCGAGGTAGACTTAGCGTTTTTAAAGAAGCCACCTTTGCTTTTGCTA